CAGATATCACCCTCTGCCTACACTGTTCACAGATAGACTAAGAGGCTCAGAACCATGTCCTCATGTCTCCTGTCCTGCCTCACCTGACACAGCTACAGGTGTGGGAAATGCAGTGTTGCCCACCTGCAAATGCATCACTTACAGTCTGCATGCAGCAAGAAAAGGAGAGATGATGATAGAGTTTCTTGGAATTCCCCATTTAATTTTATTTTATTATTTATGTATTTATTTATTTGAGACAGCGTCTCACTCTGTCGCCCAGGCTGGAGTGCAGTGGCACGATCTCAGCTCACTGCAACCTCCACCTCCCTGGTTCAAGCAATTTGCATGCCTCTACCTCCCAAGTAGCCGAGATTACAGAAATCCGCCACCACACCCGGCTAATTTTTGTATTTTTAGTAGAGATGGAGTTTCACCATGTTGGCCAGGCTCATCTCGAACTCCTGACATCAACCGATTCGCCTGCCTCGGCCTCCCAAAGTGCTGGGATTACAGGCATGAGCCGCTGCACCCAGCTGGAGTTCCCATTTTTGAACATATATTTTTAAAAATGTCTCCTAGTTCCTACAATGAAAATAAAAACGCTTTTTTCCCTTTCAAGTCTGATCAGCAGTCTTCATCATTTCCAATGCCACAGTATCCCTCTTCCTTCCGCTGAAGGAAGGAATCACGATTGCATGAAGTACATTATAAGCTAGTTTACATTCATTTTTCCACCGACTGCATGCTCTCTTTTAAGTGTAACCATATTGTGTGGATTTTTTAATGCGAAAGGGCCCACTTCTATTAAAAAGCGCCTCTGATAGGAAAATAATTGTATTATACACACACCACAACAACAACTTTTTGGAAATGCATCTGTTGGAAAAAGTGAAGCCTACAAGCATTCAAATGTAAGGCTCATGATGGATTTTATTTAACCCCAACCTGATTGAATATTTCCTGCCCTCCTGGAAAGGGCAAATATAAAGCTTAAAAAAAGGAAAACCTTTCTTATCTCCCTCTGAAGGAAATAATGTTAGACATGGTTCCAAATCTATGGTCATTTACCTTTTGACCAAAAAGCTTCAAAGACAGGAGATTCCACCTGAGAACTGAAACCAGCTGGAAATAACCCAGGAGAGGCAAGATCGAATCTGGGGATGGCCATGGGCCTCATGACATCGCAGAAGCAACCAGACAGATGCATAGCCCATGGGTGGGTGGCCAGTGGTTATCAGGAAAGCCACACGGTGCCACTCATGAATCCCCGCTCTGACGCCCACTCGGTCCTAGCCAGCGGGAGTGGAGTAGTGCTCCACAGTCTGAGATCACAGAAACAGGAGGCGGTTCTCTAATTGGACACATCTCCGAACGCGGAAGTTTGCCTGATTTCCCATTTTCATCACTTCGGTTGGGAGTTCTGAATCACATCACACATTCCCCTGCCTGCTTACCTGGACACAGAACATGGCATGCTCTTGTTACTCTCCAGCGCCGCCTTCTCTGTGCAGCCCCACACTTCCGTCTCTCACGGATAGCTGGAACCGGCTCCTCCCGGCAAGCAGCCTTCATTTCTGCTCTCATTTCTGTTTTTTCCAGCAAACTCACATATTCCCATCTCCATCTGACCTGCTACTTCTAAGTCAGATAATTGATTCTGAGCCACTAGATGAAGTCACACAGGAAGGCTCTGAGTATGGCCGCAAGCGCCTGTATCCCCAGGGGTTACCAGGTGACATAAGCCAGTTATCGTTTTCCCTAAACACGATACTCTTTCCATCTTTCTTTTTCTAAGCTTTGGTAGAAATGTACATAGAGAGAACTATCTCCCACCTACGAAAAAACATGGCTAGGGGCACAATTAAAACTGACAGACGGGCTGGGGGCGGTGGTTCACACCTGTAATCCCAACAGTTTGGGAGGCCAAGGCGGGTGGATCACTTCAGGTCAGGAGTTTGAGACCAGCCTGGCCAACATGGTGAAACCCACTCTCTACTAAAAATACAAAAAATTAGTCAGGCCTGGTGGCGGGCACTAATTCCAGCTACTCAGGAGACTGAGACAGGAGAATCACTTGAACCTGGGAGGTAGAGGTTGCAGTGAGCTGAGACCATGACATTGTACTCCAGCCTGGGAAACAAGAGCGAAACTCCATCTTAAAAAAAAAAAAAATGACAGATGGCCCAGCCTCAGCAGCAGGGACTAAGAAGTGATGGGCACTGGGAAAAGAGGACCCACGTCCTTCTGCAGGGGGCCACTGTCCCTCAGCTTTTGCTGATGGGGGTGGAAAGCAAACGTGTGGGATCAACAAGCCCAGACCTTTGCTTTGAAGAGAAACCAAAAAGTCAGATGTGTGTGCGAAATATTCCAATAGCCCTTAATGTTGTGTCCCATGTGGCTCCCAAGCCACAAGTGACAACTGAGGACCTCTTACAAGGTAATCTGCCCAGTTTTAGGGTAGGTGCTCTGTGATTGCAATTTGGAATTGCTGGAGGCATGTAAAACCATAAACCAGGAGATTGCAGATACACAAAAAAGAAAAACAAAACCACACACACACACACACACACACACACACTTCCAAGTGAGTAGAGGATCTGGTTGGGAGGGTGTGCCTGGCGCCTGAGTGTGCACACATACGCTCTCCCGGGTGAACGTGATCCTTCCCCTGAAGCACAGACCGCAGCCTTCTGCAGGGAACACAGCTATTTTCCCCACCATATCAGAACTTTTTTCTCTTTCCACCAATGCCAAATTGCCTTAAAGCAGCTGAGGAGTGCCTGGCTGATTTATGCCTCAACAACCAGGGCTTCTGGACACGTTCTTCCTTCTGACCCTGGTCCTGTGATTTGTGAAAGAGCTCTGTAACTGACAGCGACTTCTCTTTCTCTATCAGGGCAACAAAGTGCAGGGAAGAGTCTAGAAGCTGCTTTCTGCCTCCCAAGGCATCAGAAGTCAACGCTCCTGGGTAAGATGCTGACCTTCTGCATCCCCTCCTTCCTCTATAAAATACAGAAGACTCAGATAACCCCTTGCTTTCCTGATTTCCAATCTATGACAGTTTTATTCTGTCCAGTCACTAAATTAAACAGAAAAAAATAAAGCCTTAAGAGGTTAAAGAATCCCTTAATCAGTGAGATTAGAAGCCCAGAGCCTGTACATGAGCCTCTCTTTGTCCAGTGCTAAATACCTTTGGTCTGCACTAGTCCTCAGTCATTAGTACTTCCTTAAAAATCCAGAAGCTGGTCATCTGGTTCTGGGCTTCTGTAGCTACGACCACTGCCTCTGTGCCCTGAAAACTCAGGGGAGGGAAAGATAAAACTAAACATCACTTAATTCCATTTTCAATGGACAGCTCTGCTAGGGAGTTTGGTTGGACAGAAAATGAATAGTTATTTTTAAGTGTGTGTGTGTGTTGTGTGTGTGTTTTTAGATAATTTCTTATAGTTCCATTTCCCATGGGAAAATATGCTGGAGTTGGAGTCAGAAAATTTGGGTCCCAAGCACAGCTCTGCCCCTAATTTCCTGTGTGATCTTGGGCAAATTATTTCACTTCTCTGCATCAGTCTCCTTCTTTGTAAAGTGGCATTGACTGTCCCCTCCATCTGGGACCCTCAGCACCACCCTCTGCAATGCTCCGGGGCTTGAGGGAAGGGTTAAGTGAGAATTCTCATTCTAGTTTGGCTGGAAACAAACTTTGTTAAAATATATACATATTACCAGTATATCCATCCTATTCTTCCAAGATATATTCAGATTATATTTCTGTATATTAAATCACATCGTAAGTGCAATTATTTAAAGAAATTCTGCTGTGAATCCTCTAGGCAAAGAGCCTTCTGGTAAAAATAGCTAGCTATCCTGAGTCTATTTTTTATGTCATATTTCATTTAAATGTTTGTTTCAGAGAACAAAACTGCAGTCAGCAGGGACCCTGCCTTTCTCTGACATGCAGGTAGTTTCGGCGCCACTCTCAGGTGGGTGTTTGGTGTCTCCGAGGGTCCCTCTGCTGATTGGCAGTGGGAAGAGCCATGCTTTGCTAAGAGTTTATTTCCTGCTAAACTCTGTAACTGGCTGTCTCTTCTGAATCTCACAGCAACTGTGTAAGGCAAGTGATGTTAGCTTCCTTATTTTGCAGATGACGAAACTGAAGCTTGGAGAGGTTAAATGAGGTACAGCTAATAAACAGTGATTCAGACCAATTCTCCAACTCCAAAGGCAGGCAAGCCAGCATGCTCAGAATCCTCAAACATGAGGGCAGCCACGTCGACTTGCCCTGGGATGGGACCTTTGTAAGAAGTCGTAGTGGCTATGGCAGTGAGATGAGGGTGAAGACAGCAATCTGGCCCACGCCGAGACCCCTAACAAGAGACGTCATAAATGCTCTTTAGGTGGAGTGAAGGCCAGTGGAGACCCACAAGGGCAGGGGAGTTGGATTATTCCAACTCCAGGGCCTCCTGTCTCCTCCACTTTAATGGAGGACCAGGAAAGCAGAAACACATTCACGGGAGATTAAGGGGTACCCCCACCTGCAAAGGGGGCCGTGAAGGTGACTGGGGAACAGAATGCATGCTGAGGATGAGGACCAGGACAGTGGAAGTTTGAAAGCCACTGGAACAGTGTAGGAAAATTCTGGGCCCGGGTCTGGTTTGTGGGTTCTGTCCCTCCTGCTAACTATAAGACCCTGCATTCATCCCAAGGAAGAAGGCATGAGCAGGTGTGTGAGGAAAACTCGAATGGAGTGTCAACCACTGAGAATGTTAAAATGGAAGAGGGAGATCAGTGGCGGTACTGAGGAAGGGTTCCATAGAAAGATGTTCCACGTATATACGCTACACACATATAGAATATAGAGCACCACGTGTGTGTGTATATATGTGGGTATATGTATAAGCGTGTATATATGAGTCTGTGCATACATGTGTGTATATATGTGTTTGTGTGTGCATATATGTGTGTATACATGTGCATGTGTATATTTATGTTTGTGTATATATATGTGTGTGTATATGTGGGTTTGTGTGCGTATATATGTGTGTATATATGTGGATGTATGTATATATATTTATGTGTGTATATGCATGTGTGTGTGTGTGTGCACACTCAGAGACCCATAGGAAACAAAAGCACAGGACACCTGCTGCTGTTCCATCAGAGACAAGCTGGCATGTAAACAGAAGTCTACATACACATTTAGGAGCTATGGCTGCATTCTCTCTTCTTGCCCAATAACAGTTAGACCCTCACTGCATTCCATTCGGTTCCATGTCCCCTGAAGAGTATTAAACACACATTACTGTGTGCCTTTAAGTACATCACAACCCCTCTGAGCTTCAATTTTCTTACCTGCCAAAGAAAAAAACAAAGCCTAGCCTACCACCTCATTTCATTGCTATAGGATAATAACAGCTGACATTGTACATTTAAACACTGTACATATATTAATTATTTTAATCTTTGAAACAACCCTATCAGATTGGTACGATTATTAGCCTCCATTTGACAGAAAAGGAAACTGAGGCCACAGAACTGTTCCATAACTTGCCCAATGTCACCCAGCAAAGGAGGGATTTGAGCTGCGACGATCTGGTTCCAGCAACTATGCTCTTAACCCCTTTGTTCAATAGCACGATGTCTGAAAGCACTGAACGTGTTTGGAAATGTTCTGTAAATGAATGGCGCCATTCTTATTCTTGCTAGGACTGTTCCCACTGGGAATGATGCAACGCAGGGTCAGGATTCCCTGGGTGAGGATAAATCCTGCAGCCTCAGATCTGCAGCCCCGCTAGCCAGGTACCACACTTCCAGTGGTAAGTCCCCCCCGCCCCTCCCAGCTGCAGGACTGTCTTCCTATGTTCTTTTTCAAAGCAGTGTCTCTGCTGCCAAGAGCAGGTTTGTCTGTCTCCTGGAGACAGCGGTTGTCAAGCCCTGAGAGAACAGCAAGCATGTCAAAAATAGCAGCGCCAGCAGACTGCGTGGCTGCAATTTCCTTTTGAAATGTCGGCTTTGCTCTCACCAAAGAGCCAGGGTCTGTCTGCGCTCCTTGCAGCCTACAGCAGAAGCTGCTTAAGATTCCAAAATGTTTTCTAGGAGGAGGTAAAGTGTATCTGCTGAGGCTCGTGACCGAGGAATGAGGAACTCTCTTTAGAGTAACAATGATGAGGTTGGAGTTGGGTTTAAAAAAAAAATTGTAATAAATCCCAGCAGGGCTAGTCCCCAAACAGGTCAAGTGATAGCCAAGGTAAGATCAGTGTGAATGATACTTCCTGTAGGGTAGGAACTTTTCCTCTTTTGTTCTGAAAACTAGGGAGTCACACTCCTGTTGTTACTGGGCACCTTCAAACACAGCCGCCGCTTTGATAACCCTTCAAAGGCGGCGGCTGATAGGTTTCCACTCCCACTTTAGGGTACCAGGTGAAGCCAGAGGATGAGGACCAAGAAGACCAAGAGGCAGGGTGAACTACTTTCTCAAGTTCAGAGCAAAGGGACGTGAAAAACATGACCATCTCCAACCGCACAGAGACCTCGAGCCCAGCACAGAAGTGGTTCATCAGGAGACCGGGCAAGATGAGAGGCTAACAGCCCATCTGTCTTCCTTCCCCACGGCCTCCGTCTGGGAAGATCCCTCTCCCTGCCAACTGCCAAGCTCCAGACCTTATTCTGCCATGAGCTCTCTGTGCAACCCGAGGCAAAATACGAAGTGAGATGGAGAGAGGAACTCCTACCACCTAGTAAACGGATTTCTTTTCCTCCCCTAAGTGACCGTGACAAGGTAGGATTGGAGTACACTTTCCTTCCCACTTCCTTCCCACGGCAATAACACACAGTCAAACCCATGTGAGCTAGGATGGCAGCTCCAGCTAGATTGTCCCGGAAGGACCACACTCTCTGGGAATCTATCTTGGAATGGATGTCGAGTTGCAGGCAGATAGAAATTCTGCCGCAAGCAAGGGCTCAGCCAGTGGAGAGGAGAAACGACAAGCCGCAGGACTGGCTGGTGCATCTGAGGAAAGCACCACGGGAAGGGAAGGGAGGGTCCGGTGCGCATAAGGTGAAGAAGGCCAAGAGGAGATCAGAGTCTGGGAGAGAATCACTGAAAGGTTCAGTAAGACAAATGAAGGCCGTTACCGCCCACTTCTTTTGTTTACCCAAAGCACCAAAGACTGCTGGGACCTCATCATAGGGCTGTTAAGCATCAATAACAACTGTAGGGGGAGCGTGAGGAGGGGGTTAGGAAAAATGAAACCTTTATGTACCCACAAAAAAAAATTTCAAAAAATTCAAAAATAAAATAATAACCATAGTAGATACATCAATAAAACCTTGGGCCCTATGCAATCTCTTAAGGAATTCTGAGTTTACAGCTGTAGGGATTTGGTGGGGTTTTTGGTTTGTAGGAACTTTTCTTGGAGTTTTTTTCTTTTTGCCAGCAAACTGTAAGTTCCTTGGGCAAGCTCAAGGCCATAGTCCTATATAATGAATAATGTTCAACATATATATCATAGCTCAATGCATGCTAATTATGCCCTGCACTTACCCAAAAAACTGGCATGACACATCTTTAGAGGAAAAAAGAAAAAAGCATGTAACTCTCGTAACAATTTGATGTCAAAACAAAGCGCGCGCGCGCGCGCGCACACGCACACACACACACACACACACACACACACACACACACCAGTTCGTGATATTGTGCATGAATAGCAAGGATAAACTGCGTGTAAGCTCTGAAGTGTCCCCATGTGGCAGAAGAAAAAAAAACTGTCGTTCTATTCTAGATATTGTCTGGTCCATTTTTAGACACGCCAAACTTCTAGATTTATAGGACCAAACCGTTCTTCCAGCCCAGATGGAAAACTCCCAGATTATTAGACTCATTGCTTTCTTTTTTTCACAATTCAATGATTTGAGGGTGTAATTTTTAGAGTCGTATGATTATTACCACAAGCCTGTTTGAGAGCATTTCTATTACCCCCCAAAAGTTATCTGGGGCCAATTGTAATAGCATAACCTTCCACCCCCTGGGGACCCCTCAGGTTGTCCTGATGTCCTGCTGCAGGTGGGACTTAGCCCATGCTCTGAGACTTCTAGCAAGGAGTCCGTCAATTCTCCTTGCGGACTGCCTGGTGAATCTTAATCCTCCTTGTCAGGATTCCCTGCACCTTGTACCACTGAGATTTATGTCCTTTCCTTTTGTTCTGCCTTCAGTACCCGAGAGAGACAGCCAGATACTAACAAAACCTTCAAGTGAATTAAGGACAGTGCTAAGGTCATCCCCGATGTAAGGCTTTTTCCAGGCTAACTCCAACCTTATGCCTGCCTCCTAAGCCCTCTTCTGTCTGTTTATTTGACATTTCTACTGTTCCTCTGTCTTTGACCTCTCTGCCAGCCTCCTAAGCTTGGAGACCCTGAGGTGGTCCAGGGCTACTCAGCAGAGGATTCATCTGAGACTTCTCAGGGTCATTCTCTCCCCCCAGCCTGCCTTCTCTCCTTTATGCTTGCAGGTTCAGGAAATTTCTGGGAGACCTTTTTCTGAGCCCACGGCAGTCTCATCTTGCTTGGTAGGTTCAGGACTTGCCCCCGCAGAGGTAAGCATGGTAGGAAAGAATGGCAGAGTGAGAAATCAGGAAAGAGTGGAATACTCCTGCTGCAGACAGACCTTAGCAAGCACAGCTGTCCTACATTTCAATGTGCAACCTCGCCGTCAACACTCTAGGTGCTCCCAGTCACTGAAAAGGTGGAGAGAGGGAGAAAGATAGGCAGGAAGACACACATAGAAGGAAGAAGACGGTAAAACAACAGAGGGGGGAAAACCAGAAGGAGGAAAACTAGAGAAAGGAGAAAAAGGCAGAGACAGTAAGAATGAAAAGAAGGAAAGGGGAAAATGCACAGAAAAAGGGAGCATTTTTTAAAGGGGCCAGCAGCATCCAGGGGACAGAAACAGAGAAAAAGAAAACTGAAGTCAATTGAGTCAAAGAAAAATACACAGAAAAAGCGAGATAGCCCCTGAGGGAAGGAGAATGAAACCCTTGCATCTCTCCAGATGCACGCTTCCCCACCTTCTCTCTCTCTCCCCACCCCGTTCTAATTTTGCCTGCAGGACTGAGCCAAAAACAAAATTCTCCTCCAGTAGAACCTACCTCACCTGCAAAGACGGTGAGCTGTCCCTCCTTGCTCCGTGGGGACGAATATCCCGCATCTCAGGCTGAGGCTGGCAGTTCCAGGAAGTCCTCTGGGAGCTCCTTCCAGCTTGAGTCAGGTGTAGTGATGGCTTGGACCCTTCCTGTGAATCACCACCCCAGCTGTCCAGGCAACACACAGTGCATATTCTCTTGGTGCTCAGGGCACAAAATCCAAATACAGAGACTTAAGGTCAGAGAGGGATCACTTGACAAAATTCTTCCCAGAAACTTGGTCGAGCTACAGCCTCTCTGTTTTTCTTCGATGTCTTAAGAAGAAAGGTCTTTGAGATTCCTCCCAGGAGCTAGATAGACTGTTTCCCGGGGAGGAAGAAGTTGCAATTCTCCGCCTCTCGTGGAGCTGGGAAGAGCCTGCCTCTGCGGAGACGGGAACTCCATGATCCCTAAGACTGTGATCTCACCTGGTGAGGCCCAGCCTGGCTGCCACTCCAAGGAGAAGTTGTCCCCTCTAAGGGCTCCCCTCGACAGCTTGAAAAAATTAACACTGACGTTGGTTTAACTGGTTGCTTAACATTCAAATTTCTGAAGAATCAGGAGTAAGATGAGGCAGCTGCAATGACTGGGTGGGGAAACTAGGAAGAAAAGTCCAGACGGGAAGCTTTGAGGCCCTGCTTCCTCCACATTTTCCAAAAGTCCCACATCCCTGTCCTGGCACTCCCAGCCCCTAAGCCACTATGTGGGAGGTGCTCCCATTTGAGAAGCTGGGAAGATGTAGTCCCCTGGTCTCCCTTGATGCCCAAAGCAGAAGATAGAGAGAACAGTCTGGAAGGTTGCTACGGCAACCAGAGTCCCTGGTGAGCTGGGCTCTCCACAAACCCTTTCAAGCGTGCTCTGACTTGAAAAGGAAATGTTTTCTCAGGGATGGTGATGAGGGTGATTACATACACATATACAGAGATACATGCATACATGTCCCAACTTTTACCCTCGGCTGGGAGCTTCCCTTCTGCCTCTGGAATGGGCTTTTCTCTTCTTTCCCCAAATAGCCAGCAGTAATGGGAGAGATTTGGAAAACTAGCACTTTCTGACCTCAGAGCAGGTTTGTGCATCATAAACATCTCTATCTTCTACTGTGTTTCAGGTTTGGAGAAGCCAAGCTCCTAGTCAAGGTGACCTCCAGCCAAGGAAGGATCCCCCTGAACATATCTAAAGAGAACCCTCCTTTCTGAAGGGTAAGAAGAAAGGTTGAGGGGCTCAGTCCAAGAGGCCAAGGAGGGATTTCAGGAGCCAATGGTCCATAATGGCCTATTCTTAGGCTTTGGATCCAAGGCAGGAACTCTGGGGGAAGGCCTTGCCTATGGGGGTAAGGAGAGAGCTAAAAATCAAATCCATGACTAAGATTCACACATTTGCATAGCAGTGTCCCCAGCTTCCCAGACATCCCCCATGAGGTAGGGAGGGGAAGACAGTAATGTTCCCATTTAATGGGTGGGTAAACTGAGGCACAAAGAGGGACTGTGGACCCAAGTTACCCTGTAAAGTTATGGCAAGATCGAGATTTAGATCTGGCAGTCACAGAAGCAACACTGCCTCTCAAGCAAACCCTCGTAAGGCTGTCCTCTCGTAAGCTGCTCTTCGAGAAAATAATGCTTTTAAAAAATTACCATCAAAGAGTCTGAAAGCATAGATATAAAATTAAAAACATGTTAACAGTCCTTTCAGTTTCAGAACTGCACCCAAAAGAACTCAGAACAGTACATCACAGTTTATCAAAGGCAAAACACAAATGGCAACGTTACTGAGAGAGAAAAGAGGGTAGGTGGGCCAGTGGATAGATGGCAGTGGTCTCACAATGGAAGAAAATGGCTTAGATCAAGTGGGAACGCCACCACGTCACCTTACCAGTGAGAGCAGACCAAATGCAGCTCCGAGGGGCAGAGCAGGCAAGTGTTTGCTTGACTCAGCAAAAAAACCTCTTAGAGTGAGGCTGTTGGCAAAAGAATAACACTTGCTCCTTATTCTAAACCACATATTTCATGCCCATAAAATGGGAAGAAACCCATGCTGCCATCCAATGTGTGCTTTTACCTGTCTAGGGCTTTAAGCTGGAGTTTGCTTGAGGAAGCCTTCAACAGCAATCCTAAATCAAATTCCCAGGAAGCAAGGTAGAGGGCTAGAGAAAATTTGGGGGAAATGAGGGAGAAAAGGCTGCCATCTGCAACAGGATTCCTCTGCCCCTTTGAGAAAACAGCATCTGTTTAAGTGGCACCTTGCTTCAGACTGTGGTCAAGCCAGTTGCTTGACTCTATTCAGACATCCATCCTGGTTCTGTGGCTCCCTTTCTCCAGTTCTTCTGCTCAGGAAGGCACTTGCACAAAAAGAGTATTTGGCTCTGAGAAGGAACCTTCCTGGAAGCTAGAGAGTCAGGGGATCAGAGTGGGGAGGACTAAATGTCGACCAAATACCAGTGCCTCTTGTGCTGCGCCACACTTTGAAAAATCCATGGCCCCTTTGGTCCTGGACTAACCCCCGTGTCCTCCAAGTGGTAAAGTTTGATTGTATTTTCTCTAATTCCAGCCAAGTTTAGAAATGAATAACCTATTTTGAGGCTGTGCAAATGAAGACTCTACCAAGGGTCATCTGCAGGATGACCAGCAGGTGTTACAGGGCACCGGAATAACAGCAAGTTGAGTACTGCTTCTGTCCTCCAGCTTCTTCCGGTTATCAAGCGGCCTGAAGCTAGGAAGCGCACATGACCCAAAGCAAAGAACACTAAGGAGGGAGCGAAGACTTAGGTATGGCTGGTTTCCATCCTGTTGACATTGCTGCTCCTAGAGATATTGTAAGTCCCAGACATGAAAAATCAGTCTTGAGGGAAGGTCAGACATAAATGTATATCTCATCCATATGACAGAAGATGGGCATGATTGGGTGGCACCGCTGGAATTTTAAAAATGTCACTTGGATGGATTCACCTTGAATGCTTAAGCAACAAGGGATTAAGCAACAAGGTTGATAGTCCAGGTATTTGGTCCTGGATGCCAGGTAGTGGGTGAAGGGGAGAGAGTCAAGAAGTCAACTGAAGCTAGAGTGAGTAGTGAAAATGAGAAGGAAGCCTAAGAGACTGTTAGCTCAGTGCTCCCCTCCTGCAGGCCCTGCCTTCATTGGTCAGACCTCCGTGAGCATTCTTTTCTCTGCATAGGCCCGATGTGGTGTAGGAAGGTAGCTGGGTCTCCGTTCCCGGTTAGCCTCGGGGAAGTCAGGCTTGCCAAGTCCGTTGTCAGTTGCCTTCAGGTCCGGCGCAGGCTGCCCACAAGTGACGTGGGTATACTGGCCTTGCTCCTCCTGCTCCGTCTCCCGGTGGTAGAAGTAGTTGAAGTTGGAGACAATGACGGGCACAGGCAGGGCAATGGTGAGGACCCCAGCGATGGCACACAGTGAGCCCACGATCTTGCCCCCCACAGTCATGGGGTACATGTCCCCGTAACCTACCGTGGTCATTGTAACCACTGCCCACCAGAAGGCATCCGGGATGCTGGGAAAGAGCGAATCGTCATCGTCAGCCTCTGCGAAGTAGACAGCACTGGAGAAGAGGATGACCCCGATGAACA